AACCTGTGATACACAGATGACACAACTTTGCTTGCTGAAAGTGTGGATGACTTGGAGCACTTTGAAGATTAAAGACTACAGTCTGTAGTATGGATTACACCTCAATATAAAGAAAACAAAAATCCTCACAATTGGACCAGTAAGCAGTATCACGATAAATGGAGAAAAGACTGAAGTTGTCAAAGACTTCTTATTACTTGGTTCTACAATCAACACCAATGAAAGCAGCAGTCAAGACATCAAAAGACATATTGCATGGGGAGGAAGTGGGAGGGGAGCTGTGGCATTGTGGTAAACTGTGGTCAATGACATGCGACAAAGTATATGTGAACTGCTGTATGGAAAGCGAATTTGTTCTGTAAATCTTCACCCAAATCACAATTAAAAAAAAAAAAAAGACATATTGCATTGGACAGATTTGTTTCAAAAGATCTCTTTAAAGTGCTGAAGAGAAAAGATAATCTTGAAGACTAAGATGCACCTAACCCAAGACATGGTATTTTCAGTCACCTCATATGCATGTGAGAGTTGGACGATGAATAAGGAAGAACGAAGAAGAGTTGATGCTTTTGAGTTGTGGTGTTGGTGAAGAATGCTGAAAGTACCATGGATTGCTAAAAGAACTAACAAATCTGTCCTGAAAGAAGTGCAGCTGGAATGCTCCTTAGAAGCAAGAATGGCCAGAGTTTGTCTCACCTACTTTGGTCATGTTGTCAGAAGGAACCATTCTCAGGAGAAGGATGTCATGCTTGGTAAAGTGGAGGGTCAATGAAAAAGGGGAAGGCCCTCAACAAGATGGATTGACACACTGGTTGCAGCAATGGGCTCAGGTGTAGTAGGGGTCATGAGCCTGGCATAAGATTGGGGTAGTGTTTTGTTTTGTTGTATAAGGTTGCAGTGAGTCTGAGATGACTCGATAGCACGTAACAACAACAACATATTTTAACTTTTTGAAAGTTGATGGATTGAGTAACATTTTTAAATAGTAAAGAAAAATGGTATAATGGAGACTTAATTGGAAGTCCTGGATAGTATATTTTGTATTCCAGTGCCTTCCTAAGTGTATGATCCTTGGTAGATCACTTTATTCCTCTGGCTTAATTTCCTCATTTTTAAAGTGATCCCTTATTAAAAAAAAAAGGTGATCCCTCAGGTTTTTAAATGATAGGACAACTGGTTAGACTGGGCCCTACCTCCTTGAGAAGATAAATCTGCGGAGAATGTAAAGTACTGTGTTTCTATGCAGATAATGCAGGCACTATACATTTTATTGCAAACTGCACAGCCTTCCTGTACATGTTTCCTATGTGTGCTGTGCACATTATATGAGTGCATGTTATTTATGTGGGTGCATTATTTGCAAAAAACACCATCACAATTCAAAGAGGGAAAAGAATCTAGGAACAGTGCGTACAACAGCAGGGTCCTGTGTACACCAAGTGTAGCCGAAACTCTGCACAAGGAGCTTCCAGGAAGGTGAATGGGGCTGAATTCCAGCTTGGCTTCTGGAGGCAGGAGTGCCTTTTTGTAATTTTCTCACTCAGAGGGGGTGTCTTTTTCTAATTTTCACAAAGCAGTTTTAATGTTCTAGTTGTTGCCTTGTTCACCAGGTGTTTCATCTTGGTTGCCTGCTCTGATCAGTTGGTAGTTACGGCCTGAATCCCTGTGGTGTAAAATAGCAAGCATTGCTAATCTGTCTTTAATGGGTAGAGGGAGGAGTGGTGGCATGTGACCTCGAATCTTGGTAGTAGTTTGGGATGTAGATGTAACTATTTTATTTATTTTGAGGGGTATGAGAGCACAGGCTCAGGAATCAAATTGAGTAGGAATTCCAGCTTTTCACTTACAGCTGTGTGACCTTGGCAACCTACTTAGTTTCTCTAAACTTCTGTTTTCTTTTTTATAAAATGGAGATAATGATAGTTCTTGCCTCAGAATTGTTGCAAGGATTAAATGAGCAAATGTGTTCAAAGTACAAGCCTGGAACACACAAGTACTCAGTAAATGTTAGCTTTCACTGTAGCAGGTGTTTGTTATAGTGGGTATCTCTTAGTGTGTCATGTCCTACAGTCACATATTTAGTCTCTTACTTACCCAATTCTTTTTGTGTTTCCACCTTTCTCTTGCGTTATTACAGTAGCTTTCTCTCCTGTCTTTCCACTCCTAGTTGCAAGAAATCAAATTAGATGATCCTGAATTTCTGACAAGGTGGGACATCTGTGAAATTAAGGAGGACAATATTGGAGACTAGAGAACAGAAAATATTTGGAGCATCCTTTCTTGAGCAATTGGTAGGGCATCTGCAAAGATTAGTGGAGACCAGAAAGCAAGAATTTGAGTGGAGTCCCTTTATTGTAATTTTATAATTTTCTATAATAGTATCCTATAACCAGAATAAGGAGCCCTGGTGGTGCAATGGTTAAGCACTTGGGTGCTAACCAAAGGTCCACCAGCTTCTCCATGGGAGAAAAGAGCTGGCAGTGTGCTCTGATAAAGAGTCTAGCCTTGGAAACCCTCTCAGGCAGTTCGCTGTCACATGGGGTCACTGTGAGTGGAAAATTGACTTGATGGCATACAACAATAGCGTCATAACCAGATGTGGGAGTAGAGAGAATATGGAGGCTGTCATGGTTGGAAATGTTTGTGAGCATGAGGAGGGTAGAGAGGGCAAGGATTCTAGGGCACTGTGAGATGGTTGATTGCACGTTCCAGGATACACAGCAAGGCTGTTGAACCTAGATAGAGGTTGAATATACAGGAAGAGGTGAAGACAAAGGGAGGGTGAAGAATAGGAATGATGGAGATGGATAAATAAGTTGTGGCTGATTAATACATAGAAAACAATGCAAAGGAATGAACTTGAACTGCAAGTATCAACATGAATAAATCTCAGAACACAATGCTGAGCAAGAGTAACACGTGGCACAGGAATACCATTGATGTAAGGTTTTTAACAACATGCAAAGCAATTCTGTTTATTTCCAGACTTGACTTTAACCCTTTCTATATTGTAGTAAGGAGCTCTGGTAGCATAGTGCCCAAGGCACTTGACTGCTAACCAGAAGGCTGGCGGTTCAAACCCACCAGCTACTCCAGGGAAGGAAGGTTAGGCAATCTACTTCTGTAGTGATACCGCCTCGGAAAGCCAAGGAGGGGTCGCTATGAGTTGGGTCTGACTCCATGGCACATAACAACAACAACATATTTTAGTCACAAGTCTCATCATCTTGTTTCTTGGGTTCCCAACTCATGATAAATTAGAAAGAACAGCTTTTATAACATGCCCTAGTAGATAAAGAAATGACTCATTAGTAAAGATGGAAGAGACAAAGAACTAATAAATGTGATACAAAAAAAGATCCAAAAGCAGATAAATTGTGGTAAAATTAATGCAGGGTGCACTGTCCTACAGCAGCTCTGGTGGTGCAACAGTTAAGCACTTGGCTACTAACTGAAAGATTGGTGGTTCAAACCCACCCAGCTCCATGAGAGAAAGATCTGCCAGATCTGTAAAGCTAACAGCCTAGAAAACTCCATGGGGCATTTCTGCTCTGTCTCGCACAATGACTCAAAAATTGACTCAACAACACATAACAAGAGTCCTAAGTCTAAATAGCACTGTGAGTACCGCTATTAAAGCATTTGCTATCTGATGTTCATAATGACCTAGAACTATCAAGAATCAATTTTATTTGGTATACTGCTTTTATTAAGAGAGGACAATATGTGATAATTTTAAGATTTCCTTAAAATGGTTATGATTTTTTAAAAAGTTTAGAAACTAAAAGGGTGTTACAGTTTGAATTGTATCCTCCTAAAAGGTATATTGAAGTCTGTGACTGTTAGGGTTGTGTGTCAGCTTGGCTGAGCATGTTTTTGAGTGGCTGGGCAGCTGGATGTAGTTATTCCCCATGATGAGACTGGTAATCAGCTCCCTGGTGGAATCTATTGGAGAAGCTGAGCAGCTGCCTTGGGGATGTGGTCTGCTTCCAGTACATAGGGAGAGGTTTTGAGAAAGGTCTCTGCAGCTTTTGGCATGCTTGAACCCTGCATGTAGCTGAGTCATCATTCATCATCCTGCCATGTTGTCTGCCAATCTTGGAACTATTAATGGACTTGAATCAGTGTCCAGCTGTGTAGTTTGATCATCTTGGAACTGTGTCTTTTTACTTATTGACCTTGGGTTTGCCAGCCTCAGCAGCTAACAGCTGCCTGACTTAAGAAAAGCCTCCAGCTTCAGTGGGCCAGGAGCAAGAGGCACAGTCCAAGATTGAGGGGCTTTCACACAGTCCCTAGAGCTTGGCACTTGGAACGCAGACTTCTAGCCTCCTAAACTGTAAGAGACTAAATCCCTCTTTGTTAAGCCCACCCACTTGTGGTATTTTCTGTTAGAGAAACACAAAGTGACCAAAAGAAAATCCTAATTCCTGTACCTAGTGAATGTGAGCTGGTTTGGGGAAACAGGGTCTTTCTTTGAAGATGTGATCAGTAAAATCATAGCAGAGTAGGGTGGGTCCTAGTCCTAATCTCTTTCAAGTGGCATCTTATAAAAGGGGAGAACAGACATGGAGACAGGGTCACAAACACGAGGGGGAAGACAGACACCGTGTGCTGATGGAGGCGGATGCATCTGTAACCAGCAAAGGAACACCAAGGATTGACGATAGCCATGGAGACACATGGAACAGTTCTTCCCTCAAAACCCTCTGAAGGATTCAACATGACTGATACCCAGATTTGGACTTCTAGCCTCAAGAACAATGAGAAAATAACTTTCTATTGTTTGAAGACACCCACTTTGTATATTTTCTTACGGCCACCCTAGCAAACTAAGACAAGAGGAAAGCTTCATGTATTTGTAAAATTCTCATATTGTAAAACACATCATGCTTGTTTGAATAAAGTTACAAAGTATGAAACAGGAGATGGGAGCTTGAGAGATGAATGACAGCATATAATTGTTGCTTGAGATATTTTTATCTTTTTTTCTTTTTTTCCAGATTGTTTAACAAACAACAGTCAAGAATTATCAAACAGCACAGTGTATTTCCTTGAGCTGTTTAATCGTACCTTGACCTGCTTTGAGCAAAACCTTCAGGTATTTTATATGTGATACATGAAGTTAAAATGCTGGCTGTTTAAGTGAATAATAACTAATTCTGATTATTATAGCATTAATTGTTGATATTTATCTGCATATATCATATGGAGGAGTTAGTGGAACTAGATTTCTGCTCTTAAGTTTTTATTAGTCCTTAGGCAAAGCACTAAAACTTCAATTTTCTCATTTGTAATGTGGGGATAGTTAGTATTTACCTTCCCTACCTTCAGGTGTTTTGTAGTGAGGGTACAGTGACATAATGAGTGTGGAAATATTAAGGCCTGGAATTGTTTAATTAAAGCATATTGTTCTTTCTGTCATTTCTTACTTTCACTTATGCAATAATAAGATACTTTATTTTACAGTGTGTTGTGATTCTGTCTGTCTACAGGAAGCTTATTCTTTGCTTCAGTATTTGCTTCAATTTATTTTACCTACTTTAAAAGGCACTCTTTAGTAAGGTAATCTTGAGTATTGAATTATGATATAAAAGGTAACCCTAAGAATCCTTTTCTTACTGATTTTTATTTTCTTCATCTCTGACTCTTAAAGTTTGGTATTGGAATTTTACTGGTGGGGGGGCATTGGAATTGAAATGCTGATAAAATTGTAGTTTTGACACTTAACAAGTAAGAAATGCTCACAAATAGATGGGTATGTTTAGGGTATAAGTGTGCATGATTTCCTGTTTAATGAATGTGGCCATACAGAGTAATAAATTTCCCTAACAATAATGAAAATTATTAGAAGAGCATATGTTCTGCAGGATTCTGATAGGTGGCCCATTAACAAAAGGGTTTAGTATCCTAGTAAGTTTGGGAAATGCTTTACTACAAGGCAAGGAGTTTCCTTTTATGGAAGCTTTGCGGTAGTTGCATGTGCCATTTTTGCTTTTGTTTCACTGGGGCAGCTGGGTGGCCGTGTACCATGCTGAAACTCAGACAGGCTCTGGGCTCTTAAAAGAAGGGGCCATTTGGTATGGGAGACAGTTAATAGGTTCTGACGCATTGGTGCAATTTAAAGCCGCAATGACCCTATTTTCTTCTTCCCTTTCTCATACTCTGGTCTTCAAAAGAAAAATACTAAGTACTCAAATGTGTCAGGGGGAGGTGGAGAAATAAAGCTCCACCTCCTACAAAGGGGAGCATCTACTTAAATTACTTGACAGTCTTCTATAAGGACATGTGTCTCTTCCTCCACATTTATTTATCTATAGTGTATCTATACCAATAGCATAGTGGCTAAGGCCCTTGACTGCTAACCAGAAGGCTGGTGGTTCAAACCCACCAGCCACTCCTCGGAAGGAAGGTTGGGCAATCCTACTTCCGTAGTGATACTGCCTCGGAAACCCAAGGAGGGGTCGCTATGAGTGGAGGCCGACTCGACGGCACATAACAACAACAACAACAAATCTATACCAATATGAATTGATGGATATTTATTTTATATTTGGGGTTAAAATTCTTTAAGGTTCTCTCTAATTTGCTGAATGATTTCTTTTTCATTAAGACATTTGACTGATATCTCAGTTTGTCTCCTGTGAACCATTGCTTGGTTGTTTTATTTTGTGTTCCTGAGACTAGTGGTTGTTCCATGTTCATTGTTAGGCTCACTTTTCTTTCTTACGTGCTCAGTGTGTGGCAGGATGGTTTTACCAGGCTGGGAGGGTAGACGAAATCTCTGCATACAGTGTTTGGTTTTGGGAGCTTGGCCTCTGAGAGCTCTCTCAACAGGCAAGTGATCACTTACTCAGCTAACAGGTATGTACTGGGCACTGATTATGTGCCGGACAGTGTTCTGGGCACTGAGGGTAGAATGGTGAACAAGATAAGATTTATATTCCCGTGAACTTACGTTCTAGTAAGAATGGAACTAGTAACAAACAATTAAATAAGATAATTAAGAGTAATCAGTCCTGGAGTGGGCAGTATACTACTTTAGATAGAGTGGGCTGGGAAGACTTCTCTGAAGAGGTGGCTTTTGAGATGCAGCATGGTGTAGGAACTGACTGCGCAGCAGACTTGTTCTTGAAAAGACAGGTGTCATCTAGAAGTGGAAAAGACATAGATTAATATAATATTTTATATATTATATCCACTGCCTTTATTTTTTATTATAAAATACTTTGATATTTGTCTCATTTTTGTTGACGGTAAAAATATAATTATGAGCCTTAGAGTAAGAAGGATGGGTGTGGATATAGTTTTGATGCCTTTTCCCATTAAAAAAAAAAAAGTGCTGTTTGTCTAAATAAGGCAAACTTTGGTGTTGAAGTGAGTGCAAGGATGAACATGTTTTATTTATTTATTGAGAGAAGGATAAATCAGTGCAGATATGTAAATGACAAGATTCGTAGTGCCTAAGCATTTGACTGCTAACCAGTAGGCTGGCAGGTCAAACCCACCAGCCATTCCGCAGAAGGAAGATTGGGCAGTCTACTTCGGTAACAATGTATTGCCTTGGAAACCCAAAGGGGGTAGCTATGAGTTAGAATCAACTTGATGGCAGTGAGTTTGGTTTGGTTTTTGGAATGTGACATATGAATTAGTGGAGTCCACAGTTAACACTGGCTAGCAGAGTGGTTTTCAGAATTTAAGGGCATGTAGAAAGTGCCAGATATTTTGCTGTGTGCTTCATGTACCTCAGGTCTCTAATCCGTAAGACCTGTAATACAAGTGGGAGTAGCTGTCTGTTATAGATGATGAAACTGAGACACACAGGGATTTCGTAACTTGCCCGACATCACAGGTCAGCACTTTAACACGACATACTGTTTTCTGTCCTCTAGGAGAATAAATAGCTTATATTAAAGACATATACTGTGTATAATGTTTATTGTGTGTATTAATGTCCTTTTTAATTTTAGGAAAGTTCACACAGTCTTCTACAGCCAAGAAATTACTCAGAGGTATGCAAAAACTGTCTCACAGCATACAAAACTCTGAGCAGTGTGTACAATGACATGCAAAAAATGAATGAACTTGAGAATAAGGCTGAATCTGGAAAACATTTGTGCATTGACGTGGAAGACGCAGTAAGTGCCTCACTTTCGATTTGATGCCTATTTTGCGTTGTTGTTGAATGTGCTGCCATATTCTTACCCCTCATGGAGGTACGTTGGGATCTGCATATGCTGTCTTCAACCAGAAATGACTAGTTACAAAGGTGATACAGTTTTACAGTATCCTGGTGTATCAAAATAAAATGGAAATCAGTGAGGTACTTGGTAAGTGAGTTGATACTTTGGCACACTTTGTTTTTCAAATTGGATAATATGTACCATTTTCAAAGGCATGGGAGTTATTTTATGTGTACATTTCTGGTTCTTGGGCATTCATTGTTTCATTCAAACAATCTCTAGGTTTTGCTACAGTGTGTTTCTAAAGCCATTCCTCAATCACTTCCTCTCCCATTACCTTATTTACTTATTATAATCTTTACATCTGTCACTTTCTGAAAATATTTTTTTACTTATTTAATCAGTCTTTCATC